TGGGGCGGCTGATCGAGCGCTTCTACGACCCGCAGCAGGGCGCGCTGCTCCTCGACGGCACCGACTTCCGCGCCCTCGAGCTGCGCTGGCTGCGGCGCCAGATCGGCTTCGTCGAGCAGGAGCCCATCCTCTTTGACTGCTCGCTCATGGAGAACATCAAGTACGGCCGGCCCGGCGCGTCGGACGAGGCGGCGATCGCCGCCGCCGAGCGGGCAAACGCAGACGCGTTTATCCGCAGCCTGCCGGAGGGGTACGCGACTCGGCCGGGCGAGAAGGGCGTGCGCATCAGCGGGGGGCAGAAGCAGCGGGTCGCCATCGCGCGCGCCATCAGCAAGGAGCCGCGGCTGCTGCTGCTCGACGAGGCCACCTCGGCGCTCGACTCGACCAACGAGGCGGTCGTGCAGGCGTCGCTCGAGGCCCTCATGGAGGGGCGCGCCACCGTCGTCATCGCCCACCGCCTCTCCACCGTCGTGCGCGCCACCCGGATCCTCGTCCTGAGCGGAGGCGTCGCCGTCGAGAGCGGGACGCACGCGGAACTCTCGGCCGACGCGGGCTCGGCCTACTCGCGCTTCATGCGGCACCAGCTAGTGCCGCCGCCGCAGGCCGGCAGGTGTGAGGAGGACGCGGATGGCTGAAAGTGAAAGAGCCGCGATCACTCGTAACTCTTGGAGCACTTGGAGTGCAGTGTACCTCGCACTCCTGCGACTTCTATTTAAATGTAGCTCGAACCTGGGCACGCGATTTCTTGCACCGCAGAAATTCTTTTTGGGGGCGCGCCGCCAGGCGCGTCCCCACTTTTGTATCACAGCTGCGAGGGCCAACCAAGGGATTCGGCGCGTCAAGTTAACTTGACCGCTCGTTCGGGCTTTGGGCCGCAGGCCGGCGCGCAGCGCCACGCCGCCAGGCGTCCGCCGGAGGCCCGCCGGAGGCTCTTCCTGCGGCCACATTCTGGCAAGATTCCGCCGCGCTCAGGCGCCCAGAGGATGCGTGCGCTGCGCTCAAACGTCGCGATTTGGCAATAGGCGCTCGAGCCGGCGCACAGCGGACGGGTGCGCCGCGCAGGGGGGGTCGGAGGGGTGCGAGAGGGGGCGTGGGTCGGGCGCGCACCGGCCGGCTCC